AATTGAAAGACTTCTGCAGTCTGTTGTTGATTTGTGCAATTGTGATTTTGGGATTTGCTTTGACTTCATGCCTGAACTCATTGGCTATTGAACTTGAAGATATGTGTAAAAATCATCTCCTGGTTGCCGCCATGTCAAATATTCGTATCAATTATCAAAAGCAATGTATAATGAATAATGCTACGACACCAATAATTTCACTGAATTTTTGTACCGATGTACGTGACATTTAATTAGACGCAACCAATGGCGGACCCATGATTTTTGCCTGGGGGGCCCGTTGCTCCGTCACTGTTTACCAATCAACTAGTGAAAACATATGAAAATAACATCCGATTCACAATCAACTAGTGAAAACATAAGAAAATAACATCTGATTCACAAGGAAACACAAGAAAATTTTTACGTGGAAAAACCTCTTCAATATGAAGAGATAAAAAAAAACCACGGGAATCTAACGATCCACTTAAATCCAATATAATCAAAAGAGTTTACAATAACCACAAATCCACCAAAAATATTCTACACAAATTTAGAGCTAATCACAACTCTAACAAAAGCAAAATACACAAAAGTTTACAAAGAGATGGATTACAATCACTCCAAATCCAGATCCAGACGTTAACATTCTAACTCAACCGTCTAGATTAAAGATCCACACATCCTCTGCGTATTGACACAAAAATCAAGTTAGAATGTATACCTAAAGATCTAAATAATATGAATATTGATTATTTAAAAATGAAAGCAAGTTAAAGTAGTATACCTGAAGATGTTCAATTTAACACAATTTTCCACTTCATTATGTTCTGAAAATGTTCAATGATATCTTCATTTTGAATTGTAGCAAAAACTTCATTTTCAATGTAAACTACTAAGCAATTGTTCATCCACTCATCTCCCATTCGATTACGCAAAGTATTCTTAATAAGATTCATTGCAGAGAACACCTTTTCAACAGTAGCTACAGGCAAAACCAGTGCTAATTTAATAACACCCTTTCAACTGTCATTTCCTTGCATATTTTCCTGCAATTTTCAATATAATTTTAACATCAATCTTACATAACATCAATCTTAAATATTCTTGTTAAATTACAGATTTAACCATCTAAGGAGCTTATTTAAACTTAAAACTTCAATATTTTAGTAGGCTAACCTTTAGGAGACGTGGGTGAGAGAAGTTGAGAGTGAGATTTTTTTAATTTCTGGTTGCAGACTTGCAGGTTGAATCTCAGCCGTCACATGTAAAACTTTTACAGTAAAAGAGAAGTTGGGAATTGGGGAAGAAAAAGTGGAATATGAAAAAAAGACAAAACCTACTTTTTCATTTTTTTTAACTTTTACTTTTTTTTAATCTTTGAAAAAACTTAACAAATTTTTTCTAAAAGTTGAGGGCAGGCCTGGGCCTACCCTCAAAGGGCCTGGGTCTGCCCCTGGACGCAATCACGTTAGAGACAATACTAATCTTTCGTGAATGAACGACTGTCCAATAATTATGAACGCCCATCCATATTTGATGGATGACTGTTCATTACGAATGAATGGCTGTCCAACAATTATAGATGTTCGTCCATATTTTATGGATGGTCGTGCATTAGAAATGAACTATTGTCCACCAATTTGAATGAATTCTTATACCGAAATAACAATGGACTCCCATCCATATTAAATGGATGGGAGTTAATTTCCTCTGGATGGGCATCCACCTCAAATGGAAGTCCATCCATAATTTAAATTATAAAAGAACAAGGGTGGACACCAGTCCATATTATATGGACGGGCGTCCATTTTCAATAATAATAATAATAACATACTAAAAAATGTTTGAGTTTTTATTGGTCTCTGATATGGGGAAATACAAAGCTTTAGACTTTAGAAGTCAAATGATGCTTTTGTTTTACTCGAAAGTCATTGCTGCCTTGCGAAATCAAAATAAATCAATATATCATTTACCAACGTAAGAATATGTTTGTAATCTAAATGAGAAGCAAAGCTAAAATATTCAAAATAATCAATACCTTGGTATCTGTATGAGGCAAATAAAAATTTTTATTTGCCTATGGACGCCAGTTCATATCATATGGACAGGCGTCCATTATTATATTTTTAAAAATTTATGGACGGGCATCCATTTGAGGTAGACGCCCATCCATAGAAATAAACTCTCGTCCATATAATATGGATGGGAGTCCATTGTTATTTTCATACGAAATTGGTGGACGGTCGTCCATTCGTGATGAATGGTCATCCATTAAATATGGACGAGTGTCCATAATTGTTGGATGGTCATTCATTCACGGAAGACGAGTTTTGTCTCCAATGTGGTCGCGTCTGACTGGATGCCGCGTCCTTCGGTATAAAAATTTGGTATAAAAAATCGATGTCCGTAGCATTATTGATGTATAATAGTATATCATTCCTTCTAGTTTTTTTCGGGATGATTATATGTCGGCCAAATAAGGACCCGCAAAATTGGCTTCAATTAGAAAGCAGCCGCTCTTCGTTTATTATAAGATGGATGCTTCATTTGGCTGCAACTTGTGGATGGCAGAGACTGATTTTAAGGTTGAACCATACTATACTTACTCACCATCTTACTAACCATCTTACTATCCTTTGTAAATATACGCATAGTACTGGTACTATACGCATAGTACGGGTACCATGTAAAATTTAAACAAAGGTTGTATGGAAGTTAGTACAAGTGGTGAGTAAGCATAGTGTTTTTCTTTTAAGGTTTTCATTTAAATTATATTATGCCATCTAATAGTATTCTTCATTTATTTCCTGCTAAGTGTCTACCTCATTGTCTGATTTATGATTGAAAAACCTTTCCTGTTTCTCTGTCCCTCTTTTCCTTCTTCTTTTTTAAAACTTGATGCATGAATCAATGTCGGCATTTCGAAAAAAATCTAATTTTTAAATCCAGGGTGCATTTGATTTAGGGAATGTTGTATTATTGAGAATATTATATTAATAGAAAGAAAGATTACTTTGAAGATTATTGAGAATGTTTAAGGAAATGTGTTTGGTTGGTTGGAATAAATTAATGGGTATGTTATATTAATATGTTTGGTTCGAGGAATAGATTGGTGGGTATGTTATTTAAATTATTGAATTGTCTCCTAATCAAATATTAGTAATATATTATTATTTAGATTATTTATAACCCCCCTATATTTAAAACTTAGCAAAAACAACCTCATAATAAAAGTTTGGAAAATCAACAATGCACCCCACCAATAGGGATGGGCGTTTGCCCCAACCCTGCAGGGATCCGACCTGACTCGGCTTGAATGGGGCAGGGAATCCCCAAAAATATCGGGGATAGGGTCGGGGAAGGGGATTGTGCAATCAGCGCCCCAACCCGTCAACCCCGCCCCCGTGGAGCCCCGCCTTCTTTTATTGAGAATTTTATGTTTTTTTTTTCTTTGCAAGATTGTATATAAAGTTAGAGTTTAAATCATAGTTTTAAGTAATGGATTTAAATTTATGATATTTAATTTTATAATACTTTCTAATGTTTGTATTAAATTTATAGAAAAAATAATTTAAACGAGGAAGTCTAATAATTAAATATATATATATATTATTACTTTGTGAATTTTACAAAATAACAATACATGGCCCAAAAATAAATTTAATTAGATTATTATAATTTACCAAACCAATATAAGAATATACATAATTGTTTAACGACTTACAAATTACACAAATTCAATTATCTTTGTAATTAATTAATTGGTCAATTAAATATGATGTTAAACTTAATCAATGTTGGGAACTTGGGATAATGGGATTTGTCTCTTTCACAAATGGACTAATTTTATTAGTTGTAGTGGAGATAGTGTTTAATGAATTAATTCATCAATTTACCTAGTAAATTATGTTAAGGTTGAATTTAGTTATATTAATTTTGTGAAAAATTAATTAATTAACAGGGCTAACTAAGCCTAAGCCTTCATACAATTGAATAATTAATCAATTTACCTAATAAATTATGTTAAGATTAGATATAAATATATTTAATTATGTTTGAGGGAAAAATCCTCGCGGGACGAATTTCCCCACGAAGCCCTGTTCATCGGGCAGGGATGGGGATGTGAGTGATCTCATCCCTACGGGTCGGGGACAGTCATGAGAGTTGTCCCCGCCAATGGGGACGGGCCGAGGACAATCATAGGAGTGGATATCGAGGACGGGGACGAGGAATGGGGCCTCAACCTGGTCCACGTCCATCTCTACCCACCAACCCAACCACTGCAGGCCGCCGACAACCACTGCCGACAACTGGCAAACTAACGGCGCGTGGAAGGTTGAAAATGGCCTCTATGTGTCGATATGGCCATTTTCGACCAGAGATCTGGCCGAAAATGGCCAGATCATGACAGATCTGGTTGTTTTTCGGATATATCTATTGCTCCAGACTCCAGCGTGATCGCTACTGACTGGTTGCCATGTCCTTCGATGCCAAAATTTGGTATAAAATTTCGGTGTCCGTAGCATTACTCTTTGGTTGAATCACCAAATTCTGACTCTTCATTTGGCTCCATGAGGCACGAATCTTTCGCTGCTTTTTGTAGCCAAAATAAGCCACATAGAAAATATATTTTACCAAACACATACTCAAACTGATTAACCCCAAAATTGAGTAATGCTAATTAAACTTATACAACAATCCTAATCTAATCCTTATAGATTGGCTTTGGCATAAATGCTAATTAAAGTGAAAGGTAACAAATAAGATTAGCTTTTAATAAACTTATCATAAAAGTTTAAATTTCTCCTTTTTAGTAAATTCCAAAACATTACAAATAATTAATATGATTCCTGATTCCATTATTTTTTTCATGTAATAATCTCTATAAAAATGTGATAAAACAATGGTGAAAATAAAACCTATGGAGGGAAAATGACAATAATTCTTAAAAAAAAAAATTATCAAAAAAAGGGTTACTCAAGTTTCTACCAATTTCTCATACGAATTTTCCTGAAATGTGAATCAAGTATTCCCTCCAAACTAGGGTCTTCCATTAACAAGTGAAGTTGAAACATATTTGCTTAAGTTAGGAGAAAACTTAAGTACAATTGCAAATAAACACAGTGATGAACAAAAATATCTTTCAATAAATGCCTATATTCTCAAGCCAATTGGGATTTTTCTATGAACCGAAAGCATAGAAGTAAGAATCTTATGAAACCCCCCAAAGAAATGTAAGCTACAAGCTTAACTCAAAACATTATAATGCGGCTGCTTTTACAAAACTGAACTCTAGGTTTGTGTATTTCTCCTTTAAGATGACTCCGCTTCAACTTCTGCTGTGTTGTTTTCTGCGATTTCACCTGAATCTTCCCCTCCTTCAGATGGTTCTTCTTCCGGTTTTGCAGGCCCTGGACCCGCCGATACCTTCACCATTGATGGACGTAAAAGCCTGTCACCAAGTTTGAAACCCTTGCGAAATTCTTCAATAATGACACCTTCTTCAAATTCTGAGGAATCCTCACGCATAATTGCTTCGTGCAGCTTTAACAAAGAAAATGACAATTGTCAAAAAATTGTTTACATCTTTTGAATACCTAAAAATAAGAGACAAATTAGTAGGCACTTCAGTTATCACCAACTCAAGGCAATATATGAAAAACAAGGAAGCTTTCATTAAGATTTACTGAGTTATAACCTGACTACCACTTTCAACATTTCATTTTAGGTATATTCACGTCTACAAGCACAGACCAAACTTCAGTTAATTTACATCATTACTTCAGTAAACTCACCGAGTTGACTCAAATCAATCAAGACTTGGGTTGGGTTAAAAGCGTATCCAGGTCTTCACAAAACCTGAACGTACTTGATTAAGCTTACGAAAAATTTCATCAAGTACTCGACTGAATTTTGAGCCAACTCGGTAATTCACCTGCATTAAGCCAGGTATGAAATTGGACCATCATTTTACGACAAATTACTAAAAGGATAGGGCTACATTTTTCACATCAGGATCATTGATCAACAAGACGAATTAAGTTCATCAGTATGAAGCATATGACTCAGAGATATTCAAAATCGGGAGTGTCCAATAATTATTAGTCAATCTTGGGGAGATTTGGGCATGTGCTATTCTTTGCTAAACCAAAACCACATGATAATGTTATCTTATCTGCTTCTTCTACAATTAATGCTAATGAATAGGAAGTAAAGAGAAGACTTCCCATCAAAGGGGAGAAACGAGAAGAGTAGCGTTCTGGGTCTAAATCTATTTTATTTTCTTTTTCTCTTAGAAAGAAACCAAAGAAAGTACTAAATGAGATAGCACAAAGCAATTTTATTTCCTGTTTGTGCAAGGAAGCAAGTTTATCTTGCTTAAATAAAATAAATAGAGAAAGGTGACTCACCAATGGATCAAAGGGCTTTCCAACTGTCTCCACAGGAACAACACCAAGTGAGCCAAGAATTTCTACCAACTGCTTGTATATGCTCTGATAGCTGTTGTTTATCTTTTCCTCTCCCTCTGTTTCCACTTTAATTTGGGTTTTAGCCCTCTCAAAATTATCCAAAACTTGTAACAATCTTTCAACAACTTCCCCTTGAGCATTTGATACAAGTGAAGAGCGTTCCCTCTCTGTCCTCTTCCGAAAATTGTCGAAGTCTGCACTTATCCTAAGAGTACGATCCTTCTCTACCAACAATTCTTCGGACAACTGAGCCACTTTGCTCTCAAGATTGACTTTCTCACCATCAATGGTTTTTAAGTAATCTTCTATCTCAGCAACTTTAGAGTCATCATCATTGGCCAATGCTTCTTTGTACGATTGGAGCAACTCAACAATGACTGAAGTATGTGTTTCCTCTGCAACAGTAGTGTCATCATCGCCAGCAGCATCTTCAACACCAACAGCACCATCTGAAGAATCCTGTTACATAAATCTATTAGTAGCACGAAGCTTGCAAAAGAAATTTTACAATAAAATATATAAATTGTCTCAAATTAAAGTTAAAAAAAATAACAGAGAAAAATTTCGATAAGGGCATAAATAATTATTTAAAATTGGAGCCACATCAACCATCTTAAAATGAATTAGCCAATCTAAGCATTACAAAACAGAATAGTTGACACCTAGCACAAGATGATCTTCCAACGATTCCAAGTTGCATTTATGCCACATATTTAGCGATTAAGGGCATCTAGCAGTATCAACACAATGCACAACGGAAATCAACTTAAAAACATCCCAACATATGTTGTCTCCAGAACCCCCAACTTGCCCTCCCCCAACACACCACACCACACCAAAAATAAATAAATAAATAAATAAAAACCACCAATTGCTAAAACAAAGCAATTCTGGCCCTAGTGTATGTTATGCATCTAATCTACTATGATGATTATTTGCTATTTTCAGAAAATAAAACATCACTAAAATGCTAAACTTGTATTGTAAAACTAAGTACTATATAATAAATGTCATCCAGATCTTAAATACATAATTCATAGTCACTCAGTAAGCCAGTTGGTAACAAAACATGATTTCAACCAGTAAACTGCTTTTTTACCCAAGCGACTCCATTTGATTTACTAGAAATGTGCTTAAGATTTAAAATGAACACACAATAGGGCATTCTCTTATCCTATTCTACATTTATCCACATTTTCTCGGTCAACAGGTCCTGCCTTCAGTGAAATAAATTGTTGCTCATCCATGTTCCATGGAAGATTCCTCTTCACGTCACAAAAGGGTAGCGAGATATAAAAATGCATTTTTTTTCTAATCATTTCAGTATACTCTTTCTTCCATCGAAAAAATACATGTTCAACTTCTACTGGAAGTGGATAATTCCTCAAAGCTTCTTAACCAATCCCTCAGATTAAACCTGTGCTCACGCATAGAAAAATTCTCTGGTTATGTTTAATAGTAAAATGCAAATATGCACTTCCCAGACTATATGGTGATGTGCATAAAATCCGTGAATACTAAAAACGATGCAAAAATCCAAGTACCTCAGTAGGGTACAACAATTAACTTGTATCTTCATGACAGTATTAGGGTCTCCAAAAATTGCTTTACGGTTTATGTTTCAATTTTAATATTTTGACCAAATGCAGAAAAACCTATATAAAGTTGAAAAAAAAAAAAAATTATCAAAAAAAGGGTTACTCAAGTTTCTACCAATTTCTCATACGAATTTTCCTGAAATGTGAATCAAGTATTCCCTCCAAACTAGGGTCTTCCATTAACAAGTGAAGTTGAAACATATTTGCTTAAGTTAGGAGAAAACTTAAGTACAATTGCAAATAAACACAGTGATGAACAAAAATATCTTTCAATAAATGCCTATATTCTCAAGCCAATTGGGATTTTTCTATGAACCGAAAGCATAGAAGTAAGAATCTTATGAAACCCCCCAAAGAAATGTAAGCTACAAGCTTAACTCAAAACATTATAATGCGGCTGCTTTTACAAAACTGAACTCTAGGTTTGTGTATTTCTCCTTTAAGATGACTCCGCTTCAACTTCTGCTGTGTTGTTTTCTGCGATTTCACCTGAATCTTCCCCTCCTTCAGATGGTTCTTCTTCCGGTTTTGCAGGCCCTGGACCCGCCGATACCTTCACCATTGATGGACGTAAAAGCCTGTCACCAAGTTTGAAACCCTTGCGAAATTCTTCAATAATGACACCTTCTTCAAATTCTGAGGAATCCTCACGCATAATTGCTTCGTGCAGCTTTAACAAAGAAAATGACAATTGTCAAAAAATTGTTTACATCTTTTGAATACCTAAAAATAAGAGACAAATTAGTAGGCACTTCAGTTATCACCAACTCAAGGCAATATATGAAAAACAAGGAAGCTTTCATTAAGATTTACTGAGTTATAACCTGACTACCACTTTCAACATTTCATTTTAGGTATATTCACGTCTACAAGCACAGACCAAACTTCAGTTAATTTACATCATTACTTCAGTAAACTCACCGAGTTGACTCAAATCAATCAAGACTTGGGTTGGGTTAAAAGCGTATCCAGGTCTTCACAAAACCTGAACGTACTTGATTAAGCTTACGAAAAATTTCATCAAGTACTCGACTGAATTTTGAGCCAACTCGGTAATTCACCTGCATTAAGCCAGGTATGAAATTGGACCATCATTTTACGACAAATTACTAAAAGGATAGGGCTACATTTTTCACATCAGGATCATTGATCAACAAGACGAATTAAGTTCATCAGTATGAAGCATATGACTCAGAGATATTCAAAATCGGGAGTGTCCAATAATTATTAGTCAATCTTGGGGAGATTTGGGCATGTGCTATTCTTTGCTAAACCAAAACCACATGATAATGTTATCTTATCTGCTTCTTCTACAATTAATGCTAATGAATAGGAAGTAAAGAGAAGACTTCCCATCAAAGGGGAGAAACGAGAAGAGTAGCGTTCTGGGTCTAAATCTATTTTATTTTCTTTTTCTCTTAGAAAGAAACCAAAGAAAGTACTAAATGAGATAGCACAAAGCAATTTTATTTCCTGTTTGTGCAAGGAAGCAAGTTTATCTTGCTTAAATAAAATAAATAGAGAAAGGTGACTCACCAATGGATCAAAGGGCTTTCCAACTGTCTCCACAGGAACAACACCAAGTGAGCCAAGAATTTCTACCAACTGCTTGTATATGCTCTGATAGCTGTTGTTTATCTTTTCCTCTCCCTCTGTTTCCACTTTAATTTGGGTTTTAGCCCTCTCAAAATTATCCAAAACTTGTAACAATCTTTCAACAACTTCCCCTTGAGCATTTGATACAAGTGAAGAGCGTTCCCTCTCTGTCCTCTTCCGAAAATTGTCGAAGTCTGCACTTATCCTAAGAGTACGATCCTTCTCTACCAACAATTCTTCGGACAACTGAGCCACTTTGCTCTCAAGATTGACTTTCTCACCATCAATGGTTTTTAAGTAATCTTCTATCTCAGCAACTTTAGAGTCATCATCATTGGCCAATGCTTCTTTGTACGATTGGAGCAACTCAACAATGACTGAAGTATGTGTTTCCTCTGCAACAGTAGTGTCATCATCGCCAGCAGCATCTTCAACACCAACAGCACCATCTGAAGAATCCTGTTACATAAATCTATTAGTAGCACGAAGCTTGCAAAAGAAATTTTACAATAAAATATATAAATTGTCTCAAATTAAAGTTAAAAAAAATAACAGAGAAAAATTTCGATAAGGGCATAAATAATTATTTAAAATTGGAGCCACATCAACCATCTTAAAATGAATTAGCCAATCTAAGCATTACAAAACAGAATAGTTGACACCTAGCACAAGATGATCTTCCAACGATTCCAAGTTGCATTTATGCCACATATTTAGCGATTAAGGGCATCTAGCAGTATCAACACAATGCACAACGGAAATCAACTTAAAAACATCCCAACATATGTTGTCTCCAGAACCCCCAACTTGCCCTCCCCCAACACACCACACCACACCAAAAATAAATAAATAAATAAATAAAAACCACCAATTGCTAAAACAAAGCAATTCTGGCCCTAGTGTATGTTATGCATCTAATCTACTATGATGATTATTTGCTATTTTCAGAAAATAAAACATCACTAAAATGCTAAACTTGTATTGTAAAACTAAGTACTATATAATAAATGTCATCCAGATCTTAAATACATAATTCATAGTCACTCAGTAAGCCAGTTGGTAACAAAACATGATTTCAACCAGTAAACTGCTTTTTTACCCAAGCGACTCCATTTGATTTACTAGAAATGTGCTTAAGATTTAAAATGAACACACAATAGGGCATTCTCTTATCCTATTCTACATTTATCCACATTTTCTCGGTCAACAGGTCCTGCCTTCAGTGAAATAAATTGTTGCTCATCCATGTTCCATGGAAGATTCCTCTTCACGTCACAAAAGGGTAGCGAGATATAAAAATGCATTTTTTTTCTAATCATTTCAGTATACTCTTTCTTCCATCGAAAAAATACATGTTCAACTTCTACTGGAAGTGGATAATTCCTCAAAGCTTCTTAACCAATCCCTCAGATTAAACCTGTGCTCACGCATAGAAAAATTCTCTGGTTATGTTTAATAGTAAAATGCAAATATGCACTTCCCAGACTATATGGTGATGTGCATAAAATCCGTGAATACTAAAAACGATGCAAAAATCCAAGTACCTCAGTAGGGTACAACAATTAACTTGTATCTTCATGACAGTATTAGGGTCTCCAAAAATTGCTTTACGGTTTATGTTTCAATTTTAATATTTTGACCAAATGCAGAAAAACCTATATAAAGTTGAAAAAAAAAAAAAAATTAAAATAATAAAAAACTCACATATGCAGTAAAATCTATATAAAGTAATATCAGTTAAAATAATATAGAATTCAAGTCCCAACGATGGCATAAGGTAAAAATTGATAAATAAATCTTAGTTTGACAGTCAATCATTTAATCACGGTCTAGAATACATAAAGTTGATACAAATAGAAACTATGCAATCTAGTACATAATAGTCATCCAATGCATATCACAAGAAAGATAATCGAGTGAGTATACTATGAGTTAGCTGTAGTTATTGAGCACTTTTCTTTTTCCCGTGGATAGAAAGATTTGCACATTGTATTCAGAAATCCATTATATGAAAATTCCAGTCCCAGATATGGTATTAAGTAAAAATTGATAAACCTCTCTAGTTTGATAATCAATCATTTAACTGTGGTCCATAATATATAGAGTTGATACTAAAATACCCACCCAAAGTAATGCAATTTAGTATGTCATAGTCATACACTGCATGTCACAAGAAAACTATTGTGAAAATAGTATAATACTATGATTTGTATGTGTTATTCGGCACCCTTTTATTTTTGTTGGATAGAATGATTTGCACTTCGTTACAAACGGGAAGACCAATTCAATAACATATCATTATATATAAATTCGCCAAACTTAGCCAATTTATGGCCATGTTTAAAGTAACATACAACCCCCAAACCCATTAATATTACTATAGACAGGTTTTATACAAAATTTTAAACTAGTATTAGGCTAAGTTAGGTGAGTTTTTTACTAGGATGGGCTTTATATGCTTATAATTTGCAATATGCCCAAGTCAGGCAGGAAAAGAAAATTGTAATTATCAGCATCATAAACCTAGAATGATTCCAACAATAGCAAAGGAGAATATCCTTCAACTTCGTTTCTTTCCACTTTTATCATTAAGGAAAAAGCACTTAACCAAATATTTTTGAATCTCAGCAAGGATTTTTCCCACTAACCAATTATGTTACACCACTGAAAAAACTTAGTTGATAAAAATGGTTCTGCTTGTTGTAGTTAAAATTTTTAATTTCAAGTCCAAGGTGCGAGGAAGTTTGAAGTTCAAGAATGGTTCTAATTACATTTTAAATATAGATTTCAAGTTTGCTTCAAAAATAAGGGAAATTAGAATCCTTGAAGGAAGGTTATAGAAAAAAAATGTTAAAGGAACTTTAACCAGAAGACTTTGGGCTATTAATTTGATTTTGAGAGTTCATGATTTATTTTCAATTACAATCTGAGACTAGACTTAGGCAACGCTCGGTACATCTATTTATGAGCTGGTGGTTAGTATATTATGGATTGTGGGTTCAAGTAAATTAACTTTCCAAAAAATTAGAACCAAATTACATGTAATTGCCATA